TCGATTCATTGCCTTATTATTCATGACAGAAATAAGATAATCCAACTTATTCCATGGAAACTCTTCTTTTTTTTGTGTATCTTTCTCTTGTTTTTTAAAACAACTACGAATTGAATCTTTCAAACATTTAATTAATTTTTTAAAGATCTTAGTTAAATCTTTCCACTCAAATTTTTTCTTTTTGTTCATTTCTTCTATCTTTTTCGTCATTTTTCGATTAGACCGAAAATAATATATAAAGCTTAAAAAACTTAGTCCTAAACATGTACAACATACTGAATAATTTAATATATTCAGCAATTGACAATTATCAATTCCGAAATTGTTTACGCATAATTTACCAATTTGCTTAAAAGATAGCATATTGTCAGAATCCATATCATTCCCAATTACCAATTTACTATATCCAAGCATTAGAATTACGGACAGTATGGCCACTAACAAGTAAACAAGACTTATCATGAAATACGTCGTTTTTTTCACTTTAAGAAGAGAAATAAAACTCGGTTGAGATTTAAAAAAACAAGTTATCACGGATATGTATCCAAATACCAAATTAATGGTTGTCTTATTATAATGTGATAACCATTGAAATGCACTAAGAGGTGGGTTCATAGTAATGGCAAAAACTATGATAGAATCATCAAACCAGTTTATAAAAGATGATTGGTTTCTTTTTTCATTTTTAAACCCTTTGAAGAGCAAAATTACTACCGTTGGGAGTATTCCAATAATAATTGTATTAATTGCATCATTTCCTGGATCATATTGATTATTTGATGCCATCTTATGAATAATTAGTGATTGAAAAACACGATCGCGATGTCAAATATTTCTGCGTTACTAACGTAAGTGTTCTTGAAACATATTTGCATAAATACGTAATCATTCTGTCATCATTTTTGATCAGGGTCACTTAAAAATGATAGTTATTAAAAATGGGGGTCCAAATTTCCTGACTTCTGAAACACCCGGTAGCACGTGCATGTTGTGCTCTTTGTCTATTATTCCCCGTTAACCCTTAATATTCCTTTAATATTACATTGATGCATTTCTAATAATAATAATTATTATGGTAATGACTTTTAATTATAGATGGCACACAATTGTTAAATTTAAATATGTATAACACTAACACAAGATTAATCACTTGTTCATAACTATTATAGCGAACGTATGGTCGCATGACGGAGATTTATTTTATTTTTTTTTCCTTATTAGATTTTTTCCGGGCTTATTACCCGAGAATTCATCCAAAAATGTAGTTTGAATTTTAAAACTAAAGAAATGCGATAAAAGTTATTAGCAACAAGTAATCCTCGTCATTTCATCGTAATATAAAAAATAAATAACGCATTTATTCCACTGTGTTGAAGGGTTCTCTCCAGCGGCACATTTAAGGGACAAAGCACCTATATATGCCACTGGGGTTATTTTACTACATTACATTGGCAATTTTCCCTTTCTAAACTATCCACCTATGCGAAACCTGTAATAATACTACCCCCTAACTTAACTATAAAAAAAAAGACCACAAAAAAGGCCCTAAAAATTTTTACAATTTTATAATAAAATACGGCAAATTTTCAGCATAATCCACCACAATTATTTATAAGACGAATTAGTACTTAGTTTATAACAGTAAATGATTTCTATGTAAAATGATGTAAGCGTAAATACATTTCTGCTGAGTCATAGATTACATAATCTGAAATTGTTTTATATCCCCGAATTTAAAGTTTGGCTCGATTTAGAGTTAGAAATATTACTATATTAGATGGCGTTTTAAAAACATTCTTCTAATTCATAAAAATAAAAAAATACTGTAATTCCAAAAATTAAGTCTTTTAATAAATGTAATGTACTGAATGATTAGATTGTTAGAGAACTAGTACATTATATTCCATTGCGGCTAATTTTTTTATACAATTATAATAGCATTCTAGGTAAGTATATAAAAAAAATCAATAAACATAAAAACTATTCTAATGCCTGAATTTTTGTTCAATGAAAATTTTAAAATTTTAAATTAACAAATTAATACCATCCAACCAATAAAAAAGTAAAACAAGAATAATGGATATACAACTAATGCACGTCTATTTCCCAAATGAGATGTCGTAAGAAAGTTAACTGAAGCTAATAAGGTTGATAAAATAATTAATAAAAATCGAGTAATAAGTCAAATCCAATTAAAATGATTCTTACCCCAAGATGACCATGCGAATGCCATTATTGATAAAGGTAATCTTATATAGGGATTCTTTGTAACAAGATTAAAAAATGCGACTATAACTAACGGAAAGATGCAATAACCAAGAATGCAAACGCTTTGAAAGAATGAGCTAAGTTTTTTTTAATTAAAAAAAAAAAAATTAATTAATCATAATTAATTAATCAATCATTAAGGAAACTTTTTAATAAATTACTGTAATTACAACATACACAGTGCCTCCTAAAAGTTTCGCGTTTATCGTCACAACAGCCGCTCCACACCACACAATAACGAAAACACCAGTGAACACCATAACTTTTTGTGAATCAGTATTGTCATTATTTTGTACATTAAAACTTAGGATCCTTATATCATGATATTAGAAGAAAATTAAATAACCATTATTAAAAAAAAAAATGCATATATAATATTCCTAAAAACTACTTACAAGGCCAGCGCCAGACAAAGAATTAATGGGCCCCATAAATCCCCTTTCAAATAATATTGAAAATACATTCTGATTTAATCAAACATAATGTAATAAGATCAAATAAAAATAAAATAAATTTACAATCTCGCAAGACATCAGTGTTGCCTTTAGGACTAAGGACATGTCGCAATTTAAGCCCAATATTCCGCAAGTCTCTAAGCTTTTAAAATATTAAAAATATTGAAATTATCAAATTAATTTTAAACACGAATTAAATATGAATTAATTAACCTGTAAATTTTAACATACAATAGTTTCCGATACTGGCTCATCAAGAGTATCTGCAGCAAAACGTCTGGGACTATAACCGATCGTCCCTGTCACTGAAGGTTGTGGAGTTATATTAATGGTTGTCGATTTTGGTGCACTTCTGGGCTTGTTAGACGATGCACGAGCATAAGGTGACGAAAGGTCTACATCATCAGGCTCTATTATCGTATTATGATCTGTTGGAATATCTGATGAAATTTCAAAGGGATTAATATACGTATCCCCAAATGTGTGAAGAGGTGAATCACTTTCTGATAAAGGAGTGAGCGGCATAGCAACTGTTTTTCTGTGAATTTCAAACAACAATGTCAGAAAAAAAATGTTAAATATGACACGCACTTTAATTAATGAATTTATGGCCTTGTCACATTTCATCAGGCTAACTCGGCTTTTTTAGATCAGCACATATGGTTACTTAGATTCTCGAACAGCTTTCATATCCTATTTTTTATGTTTCCTTTTGTCCAAACTTGTTTTATTTAAATTTATCGTTGTCCACGTATATTAATAAGCCTGAGTCGAAATTGACAAGGATACCAGATATTTAACTTACTTGTATTCGCACGGCTTTAGTCTTTATTTTACAACTAGACGAAAAATATGTTTTTATTGGGTAAATTCGATAAATTAAATTACATGACAGCCAATCACAACATTACACATCACACGAGGCTTGATATAATAATCACGTTACACGTGACCTTTAATTTTTGTAGGTTCGCTACCTAAGTCACTAGCTGTAAAGAGTACATCCTGTCAAATTTCGAGATCAGGAGCAACTCGAAATTTTAACTATGAAACAGGTTTCTGCGCATTAATTAAAAACTTTATCGTACTTCACAAAACAATTTGTTTTAGCGAAATTTGATTGGATGTACTATGTATTTTGGTGGTCCAACAAATCTACTCTTCACACAATCGCGGTTGATCCGAGTGATACCCGGTTCCGATCACTTACTAGACCGTTTAATCGTTTCTTCTGGTAGATCTTCACAATCTAGCATTGCTAACAGGTTACGGGTATGTCGCTGCGACATACCCGTAACCTGTTAGCAATGCTAGATTGTGAAGATCTACCCGAAGAAACGATTAAACGAGCTAGTACGTATGGAACTTGCCTTAGTGCAAGCTAAAATTTTCTTTCTTATTTCGTTGGCAGTGACAGATCCGAAGAACGATAGTTTGTTCGGATAGGGGTGTGTACCTATGCCAAACACTCTGGTCTGAGCTTCTGAAGCAGTATTGACCATTTTAAGCAACCTTTATGACCAAGGTGGTGGCGATAATGTAATATAAATCATAACCAATGTATAAGTATACATGTTGGCAAAACTATTGGAATTTGGGATTTGGGATCGGGATTTGGGACAGTTTTATTGTGTTTGAGATTTAGGTGGGATTTTGAGGATTTATAGTTTTGCTAACATGTATATGTATAAGTTCTACGTATTATATATAAAATTTTGACTTGTGTGCATTTGTGTACATATTTGTGCGATTTAGATTTATGCACTGGTCATAACGGGTCATAGACAACACTGCTTTGGAGTGTATGAACTGCGTCCTCAGATAATTCTATTCTGCCAAATGAAGACGTGCTGTGGGTTTTGTCTGCTCAACTTCTAACCGCGTTCGGGAATGCATAAGTCTTGTGCTCAAGTGGTTCGATCTACTAAAAGTGCATATGCCATTTTCACTGGTTGAAAGAAATGGGTCTGAAGAGCGATAACTCTAATCAGTGTTGACCTATACCCGTTAACCTATTGGCTAATTATAGGTTATGAACTGTTATGACCTATTGGATATAACCTAAAATGACTGACACTGCCTGGAAGAGGTTGCGTCTCGTGTTTAACCACTCAGCGCTTTGGGTCGAGCCTCTGGAGTGTATGAACTACGTTCTCATTCATGCAACCATAATAGTGTACGTAATTCATAGTATCATTTAGTCTTTGCTAATAATTATTAGTAGAACAAAAAAAAATCCGATTTAATATACTATCATCAGTGAGAGAATATATCAAATTAGGTGATGGGTGTGGTCATATTTTACTTATTTAAAGAGCGTTAATTTCAGTCTAAGTATCATAAGTAAAATTATCTTTCCCTGCATTTTTTATTAGTGCCCCATGATAAGTTTAGACATCAGTTTATTGTATTTTTCGCGTTTTTTACTTTTTGTATCATCTGGCACATCCGAGCAAATCTAGCTATCATAAAAAATGAATAAATAAATATGTAAAAAATTCCATGCTTTTTTATTACTGCGACACAACACAACGTCCACGAAGGCATATACTTTCTATATAAAAATCGTACACAGCTCTATATAAGCATCCCAAGTACTAATCAATTTAAAAATGGAAGGTTTGAATAAAACCCTGGTACATAAGCAGTGTCGAAATGTACTTTCAGCTAACTACTGCTACAATAATTGTAACAACAATTAGTCAAAATTTCATCACAAAATAATCTCGCAGATATCTCGCGTAAATATATCTAAAATTCAACTCTAATCTTAAAAAATAAATTTTGATTTCAAAATAATTAGGTTAATTTGACATGTCCAGCATAAGAAATAAAATTTTCAAGAGAAATTTGAACGTGTAAACTGACGCCAGTCTCTCATTTTAAACACGGAATTATTAATCATTATTTTGATAAATGAGTCCGGAATATTCTACTAAGAAAGAGAGAATAAGAGCATTAAATCCAACTGAAAAATACGCATATTTAGTTAAGATGATACGATATCAGATAAGCATGAATGGTTAAAAAAATAATGTATCAACAACCAAGAAGTAACTTGTCTGACTCGTCATCTTAGTCATCATTTATAAAGAATCAAATAAATTTTAAGAAAATAAACATTTACCTAAAATCATGATTACCTAATTGTAATTTAGTGGATAAGAGTAAAGTAGCGGATCAGTAAACCGACGATATTTCGTGATCCAACGAAAAGAATATGATTATTTCATCTCGCAGAAATGTCAGAATCTATTCGCTGAATCACGAGGATATCGTCATTAACAAAATAACAATTACTTTTGATTTGAGTACTGCAGAGCAAAAACCTGTAACTGATCATAGTAAATCATTATGATCAGTTACAGGTTTTCGCTCTGCAGCACACGTTTAAGCAACATACAAAACGAAGATTCATTAATAAATGTCGTCCAAAATTTAAATTATGTATTGCAGACAACTCTATTAATTCAATGAAAATTTTGCTATGACGTGTTACGATATTTTTCAAATATCCAATAAAAGATTTATTTCGTGAACTATAAATCAGAATCAAATAATTTTGGCATTATTTAGTAGGATGTTAACAGTCTAATCTGGTCCAGTCTGGTTCATTTGGGTTCAATCCTGGTCTAGTCTATTAGAAGACTTTGTTAGACCATATTGGTCTGGTCTCAAGACTTAGAGCAGACAAATATTTTTTGATTCCAGACTGGTCTTAAGACTAATTGTGATCCATTAATCTAAGATCATAACTGTGATTCATTAGTTTAAGATCAGACCACGTAATATCCCTAACCGTTAGATTCGTCCCAGTGGAACGAATCTAACAGTATAAAAATCTTCAATTATGATCGATATATCATAAGATCAAAAAAAAAAAAGAAAAAAAAACAATCATCACAATCATCAATAATATAAATAATATTCAAGTAGTGACGTACTATTAGGTATAATTTTATGAAAGGAAAATGAAATTAAGAACGATTATTATTCAATTACGCAAAGAAATAAAAACATAAAAAAATACCTATAAATTCAGCGTGACTTTATTCATATAATGTAAAAAAAAAAAACTTTTTACATTAAATTAACCGAGTAATACTATCATGCGCTGACCTGACCTTTGATGAAGGTAAAAGTACAACGATTAATTAAAGAATCCAATTCAAAAATTAATGACTATTCGCTGTTAACTAATTTTTATTCAGAATATTAAGCAGAATCTCCACACAAATTTTTTCAGCCGGTAATTCCAGCTATTTTGAATTGTTTCATCATAAAAAAAAAAAAAAAAAAAAAGATTAAAAATTTTCATTACCATGGTTGCGCATTTTTTTGCATCTATTAGTAATTTTTATTTTCGTTGCATATTATATTTTCAAACCTACGTTAAGAAAAAATAGTTGTTAATTCCAATTAACAAATCGAAAATTAAATTGTAAAAATAGGGATTTGACACAATATTGGTCAGTTTCTACAAATTATCATGGAATACTTCTTTCTCAGAAACTCTAGTTTGATTTATTGTACAAAGATCATCACTAAACGTGCCATCCTATGTCAATGTTCCTTTTTAAAAAAAAAAAGTTTACTTACCCACATTACAAAAAAAAAAAAAAAAAAAAAAAATCGCATTTGGATCTAAAGATCTAAATATATATTGGATTATATAGTATAAAATACGTGTCACACGACATAAAAAAATATCTTTACAGTAAGTATGCTGAGTACAATCTGCATAGCCAATTAAATTGTAAATTTTAAAATTTTCATGTTTCATAGAATTCTCCGGAGGTGTTCTGGATCTGGATACCCTTTTGTCAAGAAAATAATCTATATACAAAATTTGGACCTAGAGTAAAGATTAGATTGATGAATAAATTACCGAGTATCTATCGCTATCTGCAAGTTTTTTTTAATCGAAATTCACCAAGCAGGGTAGTTCTGTGCTCAGCTTATGATCACATGATGCATATTACAAATGTGTGTCAAGTTTGTGTCGCAGAAAAAATTCTTTAAAGTTCGTTGATGTTAGGGCCAAGTTTGTGTCGCAGAAAAAATTCTTTAAAGTTCGTTGATGTTAGGGCTAGTGTTTAGAATAAGGTTATAAATTAGGTGATTATATAGCAAAATCGTTCAAGGAAAAATTTTTGTTAGAACACTAAAGCTAGTTTTTTATATAGATTTTCGAGAAATAAGCGAAGTTTGACAAAACGATCGTTTGTTGCGACAATCATAAGTACAAACCAATAAACATATAGCATAATTAAGTTAAAGAAACTTTTCATAGAAACGAAACCAACCTTATAATTAAAATTACAGTCAACTCTGTCTATTCCGACCCGTCCGTTCTTATATGTAAAATTGGTTAAAAAGTTCGGTTCTCAAAGAGTTATTATTAGCTAATCCGAACTCTAATAAAATTTACAAATGTTCTAGAGTTTTTCGTTCAGATTAGAGAGAATTTAATAGTGTTCGGATTAGAGAGGTTCGGATTAGAGAGAGTTGACTGTAATTATGAACCTGTAACGATCCAATCAAAATACGAGAATCTTCTATAATGTTCTAGAATCAATATCCATTTCCTTTAATAAGAAAAATTATAAGTAAAAAGGTAAATACTTTCTTTGCATGAAAGTTTTGATATTTACTTTGTTTTCTATACGTGTCAACAATTATCTCTAATTAATATATATGCATTTCCATCTAATTTTGTAGTTGATAGCATTTAAGAATTATCATCAAAGATAACTAATTAAATTATTCTCTGGAAGATTGACGCTTTGTATCATTCTTTGTAATAAAATTAGTCAATCTGGAAATTCTAAACGTAGTTATCAAAGAAATTCATGATGAAAGGGAAGTAATCTTAATTCTTGCACGAGAGTCAATAAAACTTGGTGTATAAGTCCATTTCATTACTTTGGTCTGATCCATTCGAAACACATGGTAGTGTTAGACCTAAAACTTGTCAATCACGACCGTCTTTAATTTCACGTGATTGATGATCTACGAAATACGTGACAATGTAACACATGCGCCAAGATACAATTTCTACAATTTCTACAATTTCTTTAATTTCTTAAATTTCTATAATTTCTTTTATTTCTTTTAGTATTATTAGTGGACCTATTATATGTATTAGTTATATTAGCTTACTCATAAAAATATCCCATAGAACAATCTAGTATAATCGATAGATATAATATTAGAACAAACGACATGTATAAATAATCGCACTTTTCCCCTCTGGGAAGCGACAGTTAACAACTCATCTTTTATTAAATAAAATAATAACTTGTGTCTTCATACACAAGATAAAACCCTATCGTGTCTTCATACATGATATTAAACCCAATTGTGTCTTCATACACAATTCAAACCCAAGTAAATCGTTAAGTGAGTTAACGATCTTGAACACGTGACATCGTAAAGAGAGTTTGCGATAGATATATATCTGATATAGACCTATCGTATACCCTAATACGACTACTTATATCTTCATATATATTTAGCCGTTTGCCTCTTTCATAACTGCAAATCACTTAAATCCTCTTAAAGCGTAATCGCACTAAAACCTATATTTACTTAAGCATAAACGTTAGAAGTATTAATTAATAATCTATACGTTGCTAAAGTAGATTCGTTATACTGAACTCATAAGAGGTAGTTTCAGGCATAACAGTAGCTTCCATGAACACATTATTGATATCTATTTAGCCTATGAATAGGAAATTAAGAATCAATGGCATTCCTATCCACTCTTAAATTATCCATCTTTTTAAAAACCTTTAGCCATCAAACGATAAATATTCTTAGTGTGAATGTTATGGTTTATTGATGACATAATTTTGAAATACGTACGAAGAGCATTCATTAAAAATTCTTAAACGTGCCACAAACTTACGTACGCTTTTTATTCTACTGAATTTTGTTGGTGAATAACAAGATGTACATTGATCTAAGATATATTGACCTCAGATTTTTGCTAATTATCTCAAGTTTGTCAACATGTGGTTGGCGTATGGTTTTGATTATTTCTATTTTAGTCGACACTGAAATTTCTAAATTTGTACAGAGCTATTTAAAATCTACTTAGGTTTATTTCCATGAACTTCTCAGGATGCCAAAGATGAAGCTGATAATATTGCCGCATTGATACGATACTAAGTTCAATTGCAAAGAATTCATATTTACGAATGTTATGCTTAGCAACTTGTAGGTATTATAACATTTAGAGATTGGTAAAGGTCATCAAACCTTACTGAAGAGATGTGTAAATCATTGATGCATCATTCGTTGATCTTCATATTGTGTTATACAGTGGAATTAACCATTCTGCAAATCCTTTTTAATTTTTCATTGTAAAAAACTTGTTGAGTGGGCTAAAAGACAATGCGAAACAAATGATAGGATTGTAAAGCAACATAGGGTGAACCACATTCTAATTTACATAAGACATTCTATATCAAAAATTCAAACAATATGGGAATATTTTTGATTTTATAGATCCATTAAAATGTTTATGTACAAACGAAAAAAATAGATGGCATATATCCTTATTATTTATGGAGTTAAATCCATAACATCAAGAAATGTTGTGATGATGATTTTTTGTAAGCACCATTTGTTTTTTCACTTCAAATCTTTTTATAATATGTTAAGATCATTTATTAATGATATTTCAATTCAATTTTTGTCTAACTTCGGTGAAATATTGTTCTAAAATCTATTTATGTCTATTATCACAGCATCTATATATAGCATTAAAACTTTTTTTATGTTCATGTATTATTAGGACGGAATGATTTAGGAGTCAAATTATCTATAATATATGGAAATCATGCCAAGAAGCAACGAGCATACATTCAAATTGATGTATCCAGCCCAAATGTCTCTAACTTAAAGTACGACACATATGAATGTTTTTTCTAAGAGAAAAAAAAAATTATAGAATTAGAGCTTAATTATATTTCTAATAATGCAGACTCAAGTATATTTGTCAGATAGAAAACCATTGGTTAATATTCATCGCATCATTTGGATGCAGCTCTGCGACACGCTTCATATATTTATCCCATTCCCCAACTGGACTAAGAACTTTGGAATAATCAATCTATAAACGAAAATGTTTATTAAATGCCAAAGATTATTTGCAACGGAATATACATTAAGAGATGACCAACAAATCTCTTTACAATTTACCTTGTCGACATTTATACCCCAGGGATCTGCTAACAATAACATATCATTTAATAAATAAAAATGCTCATATAATCCTTTATAATGTCATAAATCAGATTATTACCATTATCATAGGTTTTACTGTCTTCTGCTCGTGAAGGTTGAGACTCTTCTATCGGCTTATGTACATCTTGCATTTTTTTGTATGTTTCTCTGTTGCGTTTCCTTTGTGTCAATATATTCCATTGAATAATCATGTCAGAAAGACTGCGTCTAGGTAATTCTTGAGCAATTTTATGCCAATTTTTAAATCCTTCAAATGCAACACCAAGAGATAAAAGGTCTTCCTCTTCTTCAGTAAATGGAACGGTTATTATAGGCTCAGAATGCAAGTCTGAAGGTAACATAAGCCGATACTTTTCTTTTAACATTATCCAACGAGAAGCAAGCTCTACTTGTTTTCTGTGTGGTAGAATGTTTTTTATTTTATCCCAATCTTTGTCACCATACAATAATACGGCAGTTTGAAGAACTTCATCTTCCATATCAGCCCAAGAATTTATTTCATTCACCATAGACAAAGATATTTCTTGATCTTGGCTGAGTGATAATGAAAAAGACATTTCCTGATCCCAGCTGGGTGAAAATTCACTAATTGTTGATATACTTGATCCTGTCAATGTATCTTCTGTCTCGTCATGCTTTTGTTCAACAGGTGATTGGACTACATTTTGACTTCTTATACCCTTTGCTCTTTCACATGGAGATATTTTAGGACTATCATATCGGCTGTGAATCTGTCGGTATCTGTTAGAACAAGTGTTTGGTTTTCTTTGAGAGTTAAAAAAGTTTTCCGATATATATTTCCAATTAGTGCCATGAATGTTAACGGCTTCCACAAGTCGATCTTCTTCTTCTATAGTCCAACTATTTTTAGTTTTAGTACGCATAGATACTTGTTTTACAGGGGTTGGTGTTTTCCTCTGATAGCTTGACTCTTGCTCAGAGTCACTTGGCGAGGAAATTGTTGACCCTGAAAAGTATTGATTGGAAGCAATTAAAGACATCTCATCTTTTTTTGATGGGGTATGGAACTTCCTATCCGAAACACTATTTTTAATTTGACCATTTTTGGAATTCGTTACTCTGACTTCTTCACCATTTTCTAATTTGATCTTCTTTTTTGCATTTGGTTCTTTAACACCTAATTTGGATCTTATGCGCGTCCATTTTTCTGCTATTGCTAGACCTGATCTTAAATTTAAAAAAACTT